TGTGTGTGTGTGTGTGTGTGTGTGTGTGTGTGTGTGTGTGTGTGTGTGTGTGTGTGGGTGGGTGATCGCATCTTGCCGAATTGGTATCTATATAAGGCCAAACAAATGTGAAAACTTACCTTTCAAGGCCTTCTTGGAACACTTGAGTGTAGTTTCTGCCATGAACAGTTCAACAGAAAAGAATTAAAAAAACATGGAAATTTTTTCGTGCGATGAAAACACCTATAAGTGAAAGAAAGAAAAAAAACATTGTAAAGAACAAATCCGGGAGATTATTGATTACACAAAAAAAATAGTAAACAAAACAACAAATGCTCCCATATTGCGACGAGGGGAGGAGGAGAATCTGGATCCTGAGGAGAGGGAGGAGGAGAATGGGGATAGGGAGGAGGGGGAAAAGGAGGATCTGGGTTGAGAGGGGTGGGAGGAGGAGAATCGGGATCGCGAAGAGGGGGAAAAGGAGGATAGCCATCACGAGGAGGGGGGGGAACGGGGAGGGAGGGGAGGAGGATAAACATCATGAGGAGGGGAAGGAGGGGGATCGCAAGGAGGAAGGACGACCCCTCATGCATCATAATCAAGATGTCGGGTACTCAGACATGATAGCCTAATTGCAATCCCATCAAGATCCCAAGTTCCCAAGTTCATTCTGATTATCGCACATCTTGATTGATCCCATTCATCAAGATGAATGAGTGCATGTGTGATCCTCCAAAAGCATGTGGGATAAATCAATCAAGAAGTAGTCAGCCATGATAGTCTAATTGCAATCACAATCCCGACCCTGACTTCACAGGTTCCCTTCCTACTACTGGACCACTTGGCATGACATAGAGCCTCCACTACCTAACGTCCTAAATGTATCTGGAGGGATGCTCCAGATTCGCCACAAAATGTTCGATAAGTCCGAATGAATACAGTCAAGTTTCGAAGTCCTGATACACTTTGAATGTTGTGCAGTGGAGCACGCCTCATAATATTGCACAATGTAGACGACAGATCTCTCTCTCTCGCTCTCAGAGAGAGAGAGAGAGAGAGAGAGAGAGAGAGAGAGAGAGAGAGAGAGAGAGAGAGAGAGAGATCAGAATCCTTCAAAATCTTTCGATGTAGTCATGGGAAGTAGCGCAGTGGATTCTGTCCACCGCGACTTAGCGATCCGACAGAGCTCTCTCTCTCTCTCTCTCTCTCTCTCTCTCTCTCTCTCTCTCTCTCTCTCTCTCTCTCTCTCTCTCTCTCTCTCTCTCTCTCTCTCTCAGAGAGAGGGAGAGAGGGAGAGAGAGCGCTGAGGGTGGTCAATGGAGAATGCACAGACACCACATCGATAAAGGAAAGAGAGAGCCCTTAGGGACATCTGTTAAAATTGGATGTGCGATTATCAGCAACAAAAAGAAAAATGGAGAGNGAGAGAGAGAGAGAGAGAGAGAGAGAGAGAGAGAGAGAGAGAGAGAGAGAGAGAGAGAGAGAGAGCTAAGTCGAAGTCGAGACTTAGTCGACAGAATCCACTTCTCTCACGGCCCTGTCGTTATCGACGAAATCAAGTCGTCACGCACTGAAGAGTCCTCACATTCGTGTGCACGCACGGTTCTTTTTCATTTGTTTTCAATTCGACATTTCCTTTGCTGAGTTTTTTTTTCTTTTTTTACTTTTTTCTCCTTTTGCTGTTCTTTTCATTTGTTTGTTCAATTTAACGACAAGAGCCCACATCCTAGATATCCTTGTAGCTTCTGCATTTATCTGGACACAATGTCATTCAGATACATTGCTCACATATCCTACATATCCTCGTAGCTTCTGTCATGTATCTGGACAAGAAGCTGTTTAGATACATTGACGACAAAGAAATGCCGTGTACTCTCTTGTCACACCCCCGTTTTTTTCCCAACCCCTTTTTTTTTTTTTTTCCCTGGTTTGTCTTTGCTAAGAACTGCAATTTTTATTTCCCTCCCCCCCCCCCCCCCCCCTTACAATCTATTGTTTGTCTTCACCCTCTACAATCCGACGACAGGCGATGCAAGACATTCAAGTGTACGGACGGTCATACTCGAGCTTACAGCTGAAGTGGCACCACGACGTGAAACGGCGCACTATGAAAATTACGGTGGCGAAACCCCCCAGAATGCACCTCGCCAAACAGATCCTCACGATCGGATGGGTGGAAAAAGTTTTGAACACTTGAATTGGCGCGCAACTTGCTGAGTTCCCGTCCCCCGGAGTCAATGCGCCATAAGTAAGGGTTTAGATAACATTAGAGACTATTCCGTATTTGTAAAGGCATGTAGCCATGTAACAAGTACGACCCAACATCCATGGAACCGGACCACGAACCCAAGAGAACGAAGAGAAAGAGACCAACACCGGAAACTTCAAATATTATACATGAAACTTGAAGAAAGTTGAAAAAAAAGCATCTTTAAAACAACACACCAACTTCACTTCGTATGCTGGCTACCGTCGTCCTCCAAACAGAACGGCCCACGGGCATGAATGTATAGAGACCCCTTTTCCGGTCCAAATATGGGCTATGTCCGGCTCGACACAGCGCACAATTGAGGCATGCAGTGAAGCTGTATCTTTCGTTGCTCTGGTGATTCCTCTCACATGAATCAGATTGATATGTTTTCAGACTTCCACTGCATTGTGCTTGTGTCTTTCTCGACTTCAGCGATTCCTCGGCTCTGCGCATTGCCTAACTGGTGATGGGCATGCATCAATGAGACAGCCAGTCCGCACCAGTGTCTCCTTGTGAATTCAGACCTAAGTTACGCTAACCTAGGTTACTTCGCCAAATTGACTTGCCTGCTTGGCTACAGCCCATAGCTATGGTCACACTCTTGCTTCAGTCATGCAGTGTCCCACTTATTCTCATTCCACCAAGCAAAAGACAGAAGAAGACGGCCACGCTGCACTGGCGTCAATAGTGTATGTATGACTGCATGCGACTGTATTGCTTTGTTCTGCTTTCTTCGAAAGCACGAGACTCCTTTCCAGCCACCGGAGCTGGAAAAAAATTCACACCCCGCCCGCACATATATATTGTCACATCACTACAAACTAAAAGAGCGCACTTTGCGGAACAAAGAATAAAAGCAAAAAACGGGCACAGTGATAACATGCAAAAATAAAAACAAAAAGAAAAAACAAGGGCAGATTGAAACCATTAAATTTCTCATTCTTCTTTGAACTCCACCTCCACTGTGCCTCTCACGTGCAAGGCTCGCCACGTTGATGAAGTTGAGCGCGAGCTGCCCCCATCCCCTTATGCCATAACAGCCCACTTGCACGCTGTGAGAGAGGCA